TCCCCCAGCCTGGAGCATTGCAGGGGCAGGGACAGCAGTGGCCCCACTTGCAGCTGGCCCAGCCCCCCTCTGCAGCCCCTTGTCCCTGCCGGGGAGGCAGAGTCTTCACCAACCCCAAGGAAAGGACTGTCCCTACCTCTCCCCACTCGCCAGTCACCCAGCGTGGGGGTGGGCAGCGCCGCAGGTTGCACCTCATGCTGGTTGGGGGCTTGGAGGCCTCGGAGCACTGGGAGGTGGGCAGGGTGGTGCTGTGGTCCCCGCTCTTGCAGAGGACGATGCGGTGGCGGAATCCCGGCCCACAGCTTGGGGTGCACTGCAGAGAGAGGGCAGGATGTCCAGCAAAGAGCAGAGGCAGGTGGTGCTGGCTGCCTGTCTCCTGAGCTACAAGATCCTTCTGTTAGAATCATACAATGTTTTCAGTTGAAAAGGACATTTAAAGGTCATCCAGTCCAACCCCCCTGCAGGGAGCAGGGACATCTGCAGCTAGAGCAGGGTGCTCAGAGCTTGGTCCAACCTCCCCTGGGATGGTTCCAGGGATGGGGCAGCGACCACCTCTCTGGGCAGCCTGGGCCAGGGAATCACCACCCTCAATGTAGAACATTTCTTCCTTCTCTCTAGTCTAAATCTCCCTCTTTTAGTTTCAGACCATCACCTCTTGTCCTGTCACATTAGGTTGTGCTAAAAAGTCTCTCCCCAGCTTTCTGACAGGCCCCTTGTAGCCCTGGAAGGCCACCAGAAGGTGTCCCCAGCCAGAGCCTTCTCTTCTCCAGGTTGAACAAGCCCAACTCTCTCAGCCTGTCCTCACAGGAGAGGGGTTCCAGCTCTCACATTATTGTTGTGGCCTCCTCTGGACCTTCTCCAACAGGTCCCTGCTGAGGACTCCAGAGCTGGAATTCCCCACGCTGTGCTCCCCACAGCCAGCAGGCATCACTGATGCTCCTGCCTGGCGACTGACACCGTCCTGCTGAGGACCAGTGACATCAGAGAGCTGAGGGTGGACGTTAAGCACTTACCTCAGACCAGTCCAGGGCAACCCACTCTGGAGGGCACGTCTGGTTATTGCAAGGCTCGAGCATCTTGGGCCGTGGGTGGGTGCAAGAGGCATCATCCAAGGTCTTCTCCTCAGTGGCAGAGATCTTGCGCTTGCAGAAGACGCTGCGTGTGCGGACGCCTTCGTTGCAGCTTCGGCTGCATTCGGACCAGTTCCCAATCACCCAGCTGGAGACAGGGAACACAGCAAAGCTGTGAGGGCCACGGTGGTCCACGCTTGCCCCTGAGCTCCTGCACACAGCCCTATTCCTACTCTGGCCACAGCCACCCAGACAGCTGAACCACAGGTTCCTCCACACCTCCCTTTCCCCTTCAAGAGAGGGACAAGGACCAGCCAGGGAGGGGCTGGGACAATTTCTGAGGGACTGGTGCTGAGTATCTGCTCTGCACCAAAGCACCAGATGGGGAGGGCTCCTTTCTGCACATGGCTCAGCAGCACAGGGAGGAGCTCACACCACAGAGCCCAGCCTTGGCCAGCACACCCCTTGCTGAGCAAGGCACAGTGGTGGACACAGGTCTCTGCTCCCTGTGTCACCACTGTCCCTTCCCCGTGGTGACACACCAGGGCTGTGCTGGTTGTGTGCTGGATGGTGATGGAGCACAGAGGAGAACACTGCCCCTGTCCCCAGCAGAGCTGCCCCAGCACCCCTGGGTGGTGTGGAAGGGATCTCAGAAGTGGGAATGGCAGAGGAGGGAATTCCACCCTCCTGCTCCGTGGCTGTCCCACCCCTGCCCCCTCCAGCTGCCCCAGGCTGTGGCACTCACCCCGGGGGACATGGCTCGGTGTTGCACGGCCTCTGCCTCTCTGGCATTTTGGTTTCTGGGCTGCAGAAATGGTTGAAGACAGTTGAGCCATCGGAAAGTTTCTTGCATACCACAGATTGGATCTGGCTGCCTGTCAGGAGAAAGAGGCAAGGGGGAAAGAGAGGAGGACCCTGAGGCTGGCGCTGAGCCAGGTGGCAAGGACAAGCCCCACGGCTCTACTCCCATGTGGGCAAGTGATGGGGCACCTCAGCAAGCCTGAACCTACTTCTGTACCCATAACCAAGGTCTCCTTCACCTCTAACATCTCCAGAAATGGGTGGGGTGAAGGCTCAGCAGCCAGGGCACGGGCTGGCAGAGATGACAGAGGATCAAAGTGTTCCAAAGATCTCATCCTCAAATAAACCTGCTCTAACCTTGGCCTTGTGACACTTTCTGGGGAGAAGACCTGGAACAGGAGGTGGCAGCACCTTGTCGAGGCCTCGCACACCAGACAAGGTCAGAGCCCTTGGCTTCAAACAGGGAACATTGCTAAGCCTTGCTCTGGACAGGGCCTCTCTCTTCTGAGCAGCAGCTCAGTCCCCAGCCAGGCTCTCCACGAGCCCTGGCCCAAATTCTTCTGTCAGTCCCCACGGGAACCAGCCCTTGGGATTCAGGGAAGCATCAGCAGTGTTTCATTCCACAGACATGGAGATCTGCAGGCTGGGGGGGTGCTGTGATCAGTCATCCCACCCTGCATCACACCAGGAAAGGACTTTCAGGTGTATTGAGCCACCTTCCACCACCACGACCACCCACCCTGTGCTCCAGCTGAAGGACACCACCCAGGATGGTTGCCCTGACACTGCCCCCAAGGTCTCAGGCCTCACTGACTGACACCAGCCTGCGTGTGGCTGGGTGCAGGGGGGGGAATTTGTAGAAACCTGAGGGCTCCCTTAGAGCAAAGCAGATGTTGACATCCAGGCGCGGGCTCAGGTGGCCCAGAGAGCACGTGGGAGTCAAAGGAGAGAAGATACACGTGTGTGTCTCCCCCAAAGCCAGCACGGGGTCAAACCTCACCCCCAGCACACAGCACTGAGCATTTGGTCCAGGGGGTGTAGTGCCAGGAGTACTGGTTGGAGGCGTCTCTGCCGACGGGCGCGTTGAACTTGTAGCGGATCCCCTGCAGCTCCGTCCGCACGAGGACCTGGGGAGAAGGGCACCACTGAGGCACCAGTGCCACCAAAGTCCAGCACGGACGTGACTGTCCCTGTCTGACCAGCTCAGCGTGCTCTCCAAACCCCAGGAGAGCCGAAATCTCCCCCGCTTCCCTTTTCAGCCCCTGCCAGCATTGACGTGGAAGCCACCAGTGATGACAGTGGTGCAGCCACGGTGGTGATCTGATCAGAGGAGAGGCTCACACACACTGAAAGATTGAATTGTTCCAAGCCTGGTAGATTAAGGAGGGAGACCTGAGAACTTAGCCCAATTTTCCTCTGATCTTGGCACCTCCAGACAGCAAGGACTGGGGCTGATCACCTCCAATCCCCATGTAGCCACAGCAAGGTCTCTTTAGCGCAGACTAGGCCTATACCAGGTGAAGATATGAAGGAACCACGTTACCAACCATGACAAAGAGGGTGATGTTGGTGGGTCCCAAGGCCTCCAGGGACTCGGGTTCCTCTGGGGATCTCCTGTAGTGGAATGTGGTGCCGGCGATGTCGAAGCGGCGCGGGGGGTCGATGGAGAGCTTCCCATTGATGTAATACTCACCACCCTCCCCTCTCAGGGCTGTGAGGACAGGGGAGAAGGGTTACCAACAAAGGCTGAACGAGCCCTTCCAGCTTCAGCTGGGTGCTTCTCATCTGCTGGGCTCAGAGCACTGCTAGGACAGAGGAGCGTGGCCAGAGAAGGGCAACGAAGCTGGGGAAGGGTCTAGAGCCCAAGTGTGGGGAGGAGCAGCTGAGGGAGCTGGGGGTGCTGAGCCTGGAGCAAAGGAGGCTCAGGGGAGACCTTCTGGCTCTGCACAGCTCCTGACAGGAGCCTGGAGCCAGGGGGGGGTCGGGCTCTGCTCCCAAGGAACAAGGGACAGGACAAGAGGAACCAGCCTCAAGTTGCCCCAGGGGAGGTTGAGGTTGTCCCTGAGGAACAATTTCTTGCCCTGGAGGGTTGCCCAGGGCTGTGCCAGGCTGCCCAGGGTAGTGGTGGAGTCCCCACCCCTGGAGGGGTTTCCAAGCTGTGGAGATGTGGTGGGAGGGACACGGGGCAGTGGGGACCTGGCAGTGCTGGGGGATGGTTGGACTGGATGATCTTACAGTTCTTCTCCAACCTAAACAATTCTATGATTATGTGACAAAAACCACCACCCTCAGCCTGCAGGGGTGGAATAGGTGGGGCAAATGGAGCAGTTGCCTGGGTCAGGGCCGCACAAAGTGACTAGCAGGGGTGGGACTGATGCACCCATGGTCCTGTGTCCTGCTGCCCACCACCTCGCCCTGGCAGGACGATGCTGCAGGGAGCTCAGCCAGCTGCCCAGGGTGGCCATGGGGACATTTGGCAGTGGGACAAGCTGTGGCCGTGAAGCCAGGCTGGAATCCAGCTGTGCAGAGTGGGTCTCTGGGGCTCCTGGAGGAGGCTGGTCGCCAGCAGCCTGCCTGTGGTTGCCCAAGTGAGTCACTAGAGGGGGATCGGTTCGCTCCTTCCCCTGCTCTCCCGGCTCGCTCTCTGCCACCAGCCCCGCGCTGGTGTCCAGCCCTGCGTCCCTCCTGCCCCCGCTCCCTGATGCCCTGGGGTGGGGAGGATGGGTTGTTCTGATGGGGATGGAGGGTGCGCCCTCTGCTCTGCTCCCACCGGGGTGCGAGGGCAGATCCTGGAGAGAACGGTGGCAGATAGTGAGAAGAGCTTGGGCTGTGCCTCCAGGACACTGAAAACCAGTCTGGATGGGCATGAGGAGTCCCCAGGGCTGGGCAAGGGGGAGTCATCAGCAGCTCCAAACCCAGCTCCAACCCCAGCAGAGGGAGCTGGGCTGGAGGGGTGCTGCCAGCAGAGCTCCCCTGGGGCCTCCCACTGGTGCCAGCATCCAGGCAAGGCTCCTGCTCCTGGAGAGCTGCTGTGGAGGCACCCAGCAGTGGGCACCCCTTGGCCACCTCTCCATCATCACTGCCCGTCGCTTGGAGGGCACAAAGAGAAGACAAGGGGAAAGAAAAAGACCAGTTGTAAAACTGAGCCAGAGTCAGGCTGGAAAACTAAGTCCAAGGAAACTGTGAACAGGTCTGTTCTTAATCCCCAGCCCAAGGTGCTGGCAGAGGGGGGGATACCAAGGGGACACTGGCAGTGCCAGGAACATGGCACATGGGGTTTGCTGAGGGTCACGCTGCTGAGGCAGCACCATGGAGAGACAGGGGCTGTGTGGGCCACACTGCTATGGGCCACGCTGCCCTGCCACCTTCCCCTGCCCTGCCCCCTTCCCCTGCCCCCAGCCCCAAGCTGGGACCCTCAACCCCATCCTCTGCTGCAAGGAAATGGCAGATCAGGGGGGTCTGGCTGGGGTTCCAGCATCTCCCCCACCCCATCTCACCTAGGTAGTTGATGGAGAGGTTCAGCTCCCGGATGTCGATGTGGACGGAGCCCTTGGGAATCTGGATCACCTCCTCGTAACCTGGGAGACAACGTGGGGCTGCTGAGCAGTGGTGCTCAGCCTGGGAGCCCAGAGCCAACCCTGCCCGGGCTGGGTGGGAGCCTGTGCCACCCTGTGACACGTGGATTGCACTCCACACGAGATGCTGGCAGTGCAGAGCTGTCTGTGCAGCCACCCAGGGCAATGAAAGGAGGAGATCAGGATGGCCACCAGGACAGGGGTGGCTCCAGGGCTCAGGGGTGGGGCCAGTTCTCTTTAATGTCTTTATCAGTGGTCTGGATGAGAACATCAAGGGCACCCTTAGATAACACCCAGTTGGGTAGGAGGGTTCATCTGCTTGAGGAGACTCTACAGAGGGATCTGGCCAGGCTGGATCGATGGGCTGAGGCCAGTGGGATATGAGGTTCAACAAGGTCAAGTGCCAGGTCCTGCCCTTGGGTCACAACAATCCCCTCCAACCCTCCAGGCTGGGAGAAGAGTGGCTGGAAAGGACCAGGGGGAACTGGCCAACAGCCAGCTGAAGATCTTCTCATCTGTGGAGCTGGGGTCTCCACGGCCATCTCCACAGCCTGGCCTGAGGGCAGGGTGAGCTGGGGAGGAGGGAAGGAGCTCAGTGCTCTGTGTTTGGCACTTGGGTGCCAGCAGGGGCCGGGGCACGGCTTGGTCAGTGAACAGGAGCAGTTTGCTCCCTGCTTGCAGCCAGGTCCTGCCCTCTGGGGTGTCTCTGGGATGTGTCCCTGCCTGTCCTGCGTGCCCCAGGAGCGGGTGTAGTCAGGGAGGGACTCGAGGGTGGGTGGGTGATGCCAGGTGTGGTGGCCAGGCCACTTGTTCCCTACCTCCCTCTGGCAGGGACTGGTTGAAGACCCCCTCGATGGTCTCACAGGAGCTGCCATCTCCCCCACACACACGACACTTGTCCTCCTTGGAGTCAGAGCCCAGGACACGGTCACAGCCCACGTGCTGGAGGAAGGAGCAGCAGGGAATTATGCATCCTGGTGGGACCTCGTCCTCCCCACCCCCGACCCGTGGCACCCCAAGAGGCCCATCCCTGGGCTCCACCTCACTCCCCTCCTTCACACCTTAGACTAGGAAGAGCTCAGCAACACCACCTCTGCCCAGCCCCAGCTTTCTGCCACCCCTCTCCGGGGACAGC